CTGCTATGTTTAAATAGGAAGGTGTCTGGGGCACCTGGCAAGGACCTGGTCCCTCTTTTCCACTGTATCCAAAGTCACTCTATATTCAAACCATGCAAAAATGCTGGGTACCGGCTCCCTCAAATTTGATCACTCTATTTTCAAATAAAGTTGTGCCAAACTATATTCATAGTGAAATTCATCAAACTTGTCCCACTGTTCAGCATAATTTGGAAGCCTGTATAGTCTAAGCTCTCAGGCAAGGTAAATATTGGAAAAAAAATTCATATGCAGATCTAATACATAAATATTTACTTATACACACACTATGTTTTAAGGCAGTTTATTTAATAGATAAGTATTAAATATAAATTCTCTTAACCATCTGTTGTCAGAGCTGAAACAATTAAAACCTTTTACAATTAGGCCCTTTGGTATTTTTTTCAGAAAATATTTCAATAAATGAGGGAAAGTGGGAAAGGCCCAATGATTACTAATTCTTATTATCTGCCATACCTGTATTGCCAAGGTATATTCTTCTAGTTATTAGAGAAATATGTAATGTGCTTGCCAATTCAGAAGATGCCAGTGACTAGCTTTGCCTCTGGGGTGAGGCACTCAGTGTTACCAGATGAGTCAGAAAAAACTCATTAAATCTTTCCAGACATCTGATCTTCAGTTAACAATAATCTTGGAACCCCTGGTGTTTTACAAGGAACCTCCAGCTGTAGCATAAAATTTCCTCCCGTGAAAGTGACATTTGATATGAAAAGGTCTGTAGTTTTCCCCATGAGTTAGAATTTCTCTGAGCCATTTCCAAGTAACACCTTGTTGATTCCTCAGAGATGCTCCATCAACTATCCCATCTCTCTCTGCTTTAACTTCTTTTTCTCTTATGAAAAATCAATAGGTTTATATGTTGTACCTAAATCATCCCGTTCCCACTTTCTCCCTCTCCTCTGACATTTATTTGAAACCCTTAAAACAGAAACACTCCTGTTCTTAATTCTGTATCCAACATCCCCATTTCCATTGAGTTTCCATTCATGTTGCTCTTCTGGACCAAGGACACTCATCTTGTAAAAATGAATGAAATTAGGTTTCACTTTAATGACTCTATGCATTTAAAATGAATTATCATTCACTAAGTATGAAACCCCCTTTTTTCCCTTTTGACACAGGCTTTCCCTCACCCGTTCCAACTTTTCTATTCTCTCTCCGTAGCAATTGTTGAGGCTCCTCTTCTGTAATGTTCTCCAGGACTCTGACCTTGACCGTGCTACCCTCTTGCCTTAAGCAGAATTGTATATTACAGTGGTTATGGCCACAGACCAAGTGTGTTGCCTACCTCTCCAGGATACCTATGCAGTAATGATCCAATGACACTGTGACCTCGTTGTGGATTTACTATTTCCACATGGCCAAATGTATTCCTTCTTGTTCTCCATCTCATCACTATCCATTAGTTAGCCAAACTAGAAATCTGGGAGTCACTCTTAAACCTTCTCCTTTCTTACTTAATCACTAAATCATGGTCATTTATACCTCTCAGAAAGTCATTTGAATCTTCCCTCTCTGCTTTATTTCCACTAGAATTGAACTTGGATAAGCTTTACCCTTTTTTAAATTTAATTTTTGTATTGATACATTGTCAGTTTACAATGCTGTGTTAATTTATGGTGTACATCATGTAATTCAGTTGTACATATATATATATATATTCCTTCTCATATTCTTTTTCATTATAGTCTGTTACAAGGTATTGAATATAGTTCCCTGTGCTCTACAGTAGGATGTTGTTTCTTATCTATTTTATATAGAGCAGTTACTGTCTGCCAATCCCAGACTCCCAATTTATTCCTCCCCACCCCCTTTCCCTGCTGGTAACCATATGTTCATTTTCTATGTCTGTGAGTCTGTTTCTCTTTGGTAAATAAGTTCATTTTTATCTTTTTTTTTAGATTCCACATATAAGTAATATCATATCTTATTTTTCTTTCTCTTTCTGGCTAACTTCAGTTAGAATGACCATCGCCAGGTCCATCCATGTTGCTGCAAATGGCATTATTTTATTCTTTTTTATGGCTGAGTAGTATTGCATTGTATAAATATACCACAACTTCTTTATCCAGTCATCTGTTAATAAGCATTTAGGTTGCTTCCGTGTTTTGACTATTGTAAATATTGCTACTGTGAACATTGAGGTGCATGTATCTTTTCAAATTAATCTTTCTTCTGGATATATGCCCAGGAGTGATATTGCTAGATCATATGGCAACTCTACTTTTAGTTTCTTAAGGAACCTCCGTACTCTTTCCATAGTGGCTGCACCAATTTACATTCCCACCAACAGTGTAAGAGAGTTCTCTTTTCTCCACCCTCTCCAGCATTTATTATTTGTGGACTTTTTGATGATGGCCATTCTGACTGGTGTGAGGTGATACCTCATTGTAATTTTGACTTGCATTTCTCTCATAATTAGTGATATGGAGCATTTTTTCATGTGCCTATTGGCCATTTGTATGTCTTCATTGAAGAAATGTTTGTTTGGGTCCTCTACTTATTTTTTTGAATGAGTCGTTTTGTTGTTTTGTTGTTATTGAGTTGTATGAGCTGTTTATATATTCTGGAAATTAAGCCCTTGTCAGTCGCATTGTTTGCAAATATTCTCCCATTCCATAGGTTATCTTTTCATTTTGCTTATAGTTTCCTTTGCTGTTGAAAAGCTTGTATGTATAATTAGGTCCCATTTGTTTATTTCTGCTTTTATTTCTAGTGCCTTGGTAGACTGCCCTAGGAGAACTTCACTACAGTTATATCAGAGAATGTTTTGCCTATGTTCTCTTTCAGGAGATTTATAGTATCTTGTCTTATGTTTAAGTCTTTAAGCCATTTTGAGTCTATTTTTGTGTATGATGTGAGGGAGTGTTCTAACTTCATTGATTTACAGGTGACTATCCAGCTTTCCCAACGCCACTTGTCTAAGAGACTGTCTCTTCTCCATTGTACATTCTTGCCTCCTTTGTTGAAGATTAATTGACTGTAGGTATGTGGGTTTATTTCTGGGCTCTCTGTTCTGTTCCATTGATCCATATGTCTGTTTTTGCCAATACCACACTGTTTCGATTCCTGTAGCCTAGAATATTATACGTATAACCAGCTTCACTATTCTCGGATTTCCCTTCCTCCCAGCTTTCCCCACCCCTTACACAGATGTTTCATAGTCCACACTGCAGCCAGAGAGAGCTAAGATACAAATCTGACGACGTCATTCTCCTGCATAAAGTCTTTATCAATTTCACATGCCTTAGAATGACATAGTCAATCCTTCATGACCTGGCCGCTTTAAGACTCTTCAGCCTCGCTTCCAACTGCTTCCTAATTTTCACTTTTAAGTTTTAGTACTATGGAATCTTCTAATAGTACCAATAGTTTCTCTGATAGTCCAAACACATCATTTGGTTCCAGAACCACATACCTTTGCTTATGTGGTTGTCCCTGCCCAGAATTATCGTTCTAGCTTTATTAGCTTTAATAATCCTTGCTTATCATTTAAGACAGTTGTACCCCATCTTTCTTATAAACCTGCCTTGAACATGGATGCATGGTATGTGGCTCCTCCTAAAATAAGAGATATTCAGTTTGATTTAATAAAACACTGTCAGCAAAAGCACCAGCTCAGGTAGACAATGAGATATATTCTGGTCACATCCCTGCCACTAACCAGCTATGTGACCTTGGATAAATCTTTTAATTGCTTTGGTTCTAAATTTCCTTTTGCCTGTGATGACCTTTTTAAGCTAGAAGCTTTCCAAAGTTCTCTCCAGCCTCCATTTTCTGCATCTATTCACCAGAGACAAAACATCTCAGAGTGTCAATAAACCAGCAGCTTAACACGACTACAGCCTTGTTTATTGATCACTCTGAGGTAAAGTGACTTTTATACGAAGTCAATCTATGTGTCAAATATATTCAAAGTAATTGCCTTATAAACTTAAAGGAAACAAACTGCCTGCTGTATGTAGCCCCATCTTGTGGACTGTAGTGGATTTTTGGTTTTCCTTCTGCTAATGAAAAATCCCAGATCTGGGAAGATAGACATTGACAGGGGGTATACAGCTTGGATTTTTGAAGTTAGATCTGGATTCAAATCCTGGCACTGTCATGTACTTTCTTTGTGACCTTAGAGGGTCACAGGTTTTCAGTGCTAAATTTGGAAGAATTACTACTAGAGGACATTGGTCAAACAAGTCGTACCCTTCAGAGTGCATGACACACAGGAGGCACAAAGATATTATTACTGCTTTACCATCATCCTCATCACACTAGTTAGGAGAGAGAAGATTAGGCAGATAATGACAGCCCAGTCTTTTATTAATGTGGGAGTCATTGATATCAGCCTCCACTCACCACAGGATGCCCTCATGTTTGGGACATCACATCAATGATGTTAGTTCAACTCCTTCTTTCACAGATAAGGAAGAGGGAGCTCAGAGTGGTTACATGACTCATCCCCAAATAATTCTCCATCATGTGAGGCTACAAGGACTTGAACCCCATTCTCTGGGTCCCAGCTAAGTCCTTCCCTTTAGTTCATGCTTCTCAAAACTTCACTGCATCACAATCACCCCGAGAGCCTGTAAAGCACAGATTGCTGCATGCCCTCCTCGGAGATCCTGATTCAGTGAATCTGGGATGGGCTGGAAAATTTGCATTTTACCAGGCTCCTAGCTATTGCTGGTGCTTTGCGTAGCATTGCAATAGACGACTCTGTTCTGAATTGCCTACGAGGAGTTCTTGGCTTTCTTAAACACCTCGCTCCCAGGAAGTGACAAAGAGAGAAAGATGAGGCCATTTGTCCTGATTATTCTCTGCCAGGTTTTGTATGGGATGCAGCACTGCCAATGAATGGAGTATGAGCTCTGCTCCAAACCTCGCCTTTTCCTACTATACTCTCAGTCAAGAAGCCTTAGGTTTCAGAAAAACATACTCCCCAGATTTATTTTATAAAAATTACAGTTTGTTTTGGCTGGCGTGTTTATAGTCATATTTGGAGCTTGCAGATGCACATGGAAATCTGCAGTGTCTGAAATGAGAAATTGGCTCTGGGGCTCAGCGTTTACTCCTGTGTGGCAGAAAACCTTGCAGCTTTTTATACTCCGGAGGTGGGAGAAAATACATCACAGCCAAACGCTATCTGGAAAGATGATACCCAGAATGCGTTGAGGAATTAAACATCACCACCTATTTATCTCCTCTGAGAAAAGGGAAACAGATTACATCCCCAAAGTTCATTTGTTAAGTTGGCAGTTTAGCACTCGGGGCTCATATTTCCATAGAAACAATCCTGATCTAACGGCTGCATTATGCATTGCAAAGGGTTTTAATGAACTTACCTGGAAACCAAATCACCATTTGTAAAATAATTTCTAAGGAAAAAATGTCTCCTACTTGGCAGCAAGGAGGAAAGAGTGGTTCAAAGCACAAACAAGCAGTGTTCCTTGGATAAAGAGGGTAAATTATAGCAGATTAGGTTCCATCTCAGCACCAACAAATTCTGCGCAAAAATGAAAGCTCTTTAGCCCTCTCTCAGTTTCCTTATCTGCTTAGAGCTGATAATATACAGCTTACAGAGCCCTTGTGAAAATTAAACAGCAACATAGATGTGCAGCCTCTCTGCTACCATATCTTGAACAAAGTAGGCATTCAGTAAATTACTGTTGTCATTTCTTAGGGAGCATGCATCCTCTGACTTAATTCTACTTCTTCACTTCCATCCCTTTATTTTTACACACATAACTACAGGCACTAAAGAGTTAGGAAGAAGGGGGAGGATGGCACTTCAAATCCTGCCTTCCTCAATTAAGCAGAGCAATTCCGCTCAACCAGTTCAAATCCAAAACTTCATAAGCCGAATCTATCTCGGCATTCACATAAAAACAACAACAAAAAATG